ACGTTAATGATGATCCTTCTACAATCATTTTCCTATCAGCTTACGTACGAGCTTCATTAATATCAAAGGAAAGTTTGTTTCTTAATTGAAATTTCAAAACCTCCACCGAAAAAAAATCACCCCTTTAAATGCTATATAAACGAATTAATTAATATTATAATAAATAACTAATTAAAATAGTTTTGACTCGTGTTTTTTTAAGTTTAAATTTATTAATCCTCGATGATGTCTTTCGTTTAGTCATCCATCAATGATTTTTGTCAAGCTTTTTTGGTACGTAACTTCTTCTTCACGAAAAAACGAGACATATATCTAAATTAATCGAGGTTTGTAATTAAATAATAGAATGATTTTTCTTCATTAATTAATATCTCTCGGAGAAGTAGACGATAAAAGACTTTCTTTTACCCTTATGACATCTACAAAATATTGAAGGAGTGAGCCTCGTTGCAACAGAAAAAAAAACGAAAATAAAATTAAAGATTTATTAATTATTTTAGCATTCTTGGCAAAATACCTATTGTAAAATAGTGCTTAATTATTCAAGATTGAAACAAAAGAACTTTGTTCCTTTTTTTTATTATTAGTCCCGTAAAAAAATATCCGTCGTAAATTAACTAACAAGGAAAAGCGTAGACAGCATTCGCTTACACACGGAATAGATTTCATTCTATACAGACTTGTTAATGCTTTTAGAATTAATTTGATAGAGAAGGCTTCTTCTTCTTCTTCCTCTTTATATATAACTCGTGCTTCACTATACCGTACGATGCCATTAAGAATTAATAGAATTGAAAGACATAAACTTAACTTTTAATCGTATATTTTGTCGTGATTTTTGTTTAATTCATACGTTTAAAATGTATAAATTTAATACGGGTGCTTTCAGATGATAATTCTCTAGAGGATATTGTTTTTTTTTTTTTTTAATTCTGTAAGACACAACTTCCTTATCAACTGGAAAAACTGCTGCATCATTCTTTAATGTAAATTTAATTCTACGAAACAACTTTGTAAGGAAATCCTGTTTAGAAACGAATATATCTTTGCCTATTGCAAACTTCAGTTTAAAGGAAAATGTATTAAATTTTTATAGATTCCGTCTAATCGAGCTTTGTCTTTGAATTAATACTTATCTTCTTCGACCAGAAAACAACCAATATCCATATGATACCATGAATAATTCACTGTATTTTAGACACGTGATAGTTGTTCTGATCAAATATTAAAATAGGAATATCCTATCTCGAGATACAGCAGAGTTTAGAGTGCGAACAATGTTTTGCAAATAGCAAACTTCAATATCAATTTAACGTTTATCCTGGGGCTAAAATGGAGGTAAAAGAAAGAAAAAAAAATAAAGCTTCGATGAATAATACACCCGAACAGATGATTTTTGTCTTAGATGGCCTCTTGGTAAGAATAAAAATACTTATTTGCCGGTGTTAACTGGGAAAAATGAAACGTTTGACGTAGGAGATAGAGGAAAATAAAAAGACAAATAAGTAGTTTATTTCTTTAATTTCTCAGTTTTCAGCATTTCTCTCATCTATCAAACTAGAAAGGCCGAAATGAACGATCTCAAAATTGGTTTGTCATCGTATCCGAGGATGTTGTCTACAAAAGATGTTGAGACCTTAGGGATCCCTGCGGCTGTATATAGGGGTAAGAAAGGGGGAGTAGCGTGCAGAACAGTTTCTTCTTCGGTCCTGCCTCCGGGGACTTTTCGTTCTCTCTCTCTTTACCCAAGTCTGCAAACCACCAATGGTTGGTTGCCTTCATTATTGAAAATATTTAATTGGGTTGCCCAAAGGCAGTGTAGAGTGCAGAATAAAAGCTAGTAACAGAAGAGAGAGAGTTGCTGTTTACTACTCTGCAGTATATGGTAGTAAGGGTTGCATCAATTCACCACTCTATATACGCGTACAGTTAGCGAACGCCACGGGGGTTTCGTCTCTGTAATCCGCCACATCCAATAATTACTGTCCCTTTGGCAATTCGCGCGTAGTCATGGCAACATGTGGACTACAGCAGCTGGTTCGGCGCCCAAGGCTTACGACGGCGGTAAAGTTCTTGGGGAGAGTGATCATAAAAAGCTAGGAACATATTAAAGTGCCCGAGGGTTAGGGTCGTAGCTGGAGGTGTGCTTCGACGTGATGCTAGCCGTTCGCTCTTATCGCAAACAATACTGTCTCTCCTTTTCTGGCCCTCGGGCTACTCGCTACTTCTAGTGATAGTATCGAGCTTCATCCGGCTTACCCTACCTTATCTGAGGAAGAATTTACACTTCATACAAACCACTCCCCGATAGATATGGTATGGCCGAGCTGCTTTTTACTTTTGTTTTATCCCACCAATCGTACCTATTGTTATCAATACTGTCCGTTCGAACGCGGTCGAATAAAACAACCCATTGTCGAACCGCGTGTTTGCTGTTTTATTTTTTAAAAAATGGCGGCGGGAGGATTTCTATTTAACAAACCAATATAAACAATTTTTCGACCGACCGTCGACGGTTTATCTCTTCAGGAATTTTAATTACGGTTTCGTGTTTTGTTATTGCGTTATTTATTTCGCAGCTGCCACTTTCGCTGGTGTTATGACAACATTTTAAAGCGTATGACAGCCGGGGCGTCTATGAGATTCGTTATCGAGGCGTATAATCAGTAAAATGTATAATATTTTAGACACAATTCGGGATAAACCAGAATTATATCTTCATCTACTTTCTCTCTTCGTTTCCTTCTGGTTTGTTAATGAGACTGGTACTTTTTTGTTGACCGTTTAGAAAAAATATCCCTTTCGACAAATCAAATTAAAATAATTTACAGAATTTGTTAAACGACTGGAAAGGTTTTTCAGTCGATGATAATGTCCGTGTTTGTCAGTATTGACTGCAACTATTAAAAGGAACGACTGCTCAAAATGCAAAAGTTTCATCCTTCTAGTCTAACTTGATGGTGCTGACTATGTTTGCCTTAAGCTACGGTTGCCCTTAGCAACCAAGAGGAGAGGGGTTGTAAAAAATCCTTTACTGGAATGCCTCGCAAACTTCTTTCCCTTCTTGCACTCGTCTGGCTTGGAGCAAGAGGAGAAAAGAGAGCAGGTCCCCGAAGAATTCAAACTGCTTAACAGGCTTTGCACACATGAATGAGAGTAGAATTATTCAAATGCCTGAATCCCTTCTTTTCCATCGGATAAACTTCATTTTCCGAAGAAAAGAAGATTTTTGGTTTTTGGCTTGTGACTTTCAACTCAGTTGATGTTTCTGCAATCACATTATTTTCAAATGGAATTTATTCTTGTATAAAGCCTCGTCCTGTTTGGCATTAATGATGCTTTACATATATCTTCCTCGAATACACCCCTCGTTTTTTTTTTTACGTTTCAGGAGTACACCTTAGTGTAACAAAGTACAGAAATATCCTTCCTGCCTTTTCAACTTTCAGATAAACACTTTAATTAACTCGATATATTAAAAGAAAACTAATTCCTACCCATTTCTATAACTCTCCCATTGAAAATCGTACGATTTAATTGTATCAGTATATCAACGTAGCATCCCATTAAAACGGTCCCAGGGTGTGTTTTAACAAGACACATGACTCTTATTATATTAAAATAGCCTACATCAAATATATGGTAATCTCATAAACTACAAAGTAATTCGTAATACAATTTTCAATTCGGGAATTAATTTACCAACTGGACATTAATTCCGAGCTCTATTCTTCCATCTTTAAACTCGTTTATACATCTTAAAATCCCATTTAGACTTAAAAATTCAACTAAATCCGCACTCCGCTTCTCTCTAACAAGCCATATTTACGACGTGAATATTTACATATCCGATTTTCTACTCCCAATTAATATTTGCATACGTTAAAATTTAATTTACAACATTGGAGATAGTTCTTTCAGCAAGATTTAAGTCGTATCATAGTTTATATTAAATAAAATAATTAAGATTTCTTATATAAATCAATACAGAAAAAAGTTAGAGGTTAAAAATGGGTATGTGGATCCGACTGGTAGGGGACACCTGGTGAAACAAAAAATGAGCTAGGTTAGATAGTAAGCGTCATCTATATCTGTCTGGTGTGGCTATAAACCACATAGGGGTGCTGCTCTACGTCTAGGATTGTGTCTCCGCATTTCCATCACTACCTATTTCTACAGGGGGAACATCACTTCCCGTAGAGTCGCTTAATTGTTAGAAGTACCACCCACGTGCTGATTTTTTTTCAAAAAAAAAAAAAAATAATCCCACTTAAAATCGTTATTTACATATATAATAACGATGAAACTAATATTAAAATCTTCAAAGATAAATCAGTGGAAGTAAATGCCCAGAGAAGTTTGGTACCGTTGATACTTCTTGTATAACAAGTATCTTCCGAGGGATTGTAAATTATGTAAAAATTCATTCCATTACTAGTAGAATGCATTTAAAACAATATAAAATTTATTTTAAAAAATTCTAATGATAGTATATACTTGTCTGAAATATGAAAGGCCTCTGTGTGTGTGTGTGTGTGTGTCGACATTCGATTCGTTTTAGCAAAGTGCATTTTTACTTTCAGCAAATATTTATGTATGTCTCGTTAATCATGCATGTTTCTTGTTTCATTTAGATCTTCCGATAAAGATGGAAGAAAGACGAAAGAGTAATTCCTCTTGAGCTTTTTTCGACTTTATCATGTATACCCCGAGGTCAAATACAAAAACATCAAAGTTTCTTTGAAATTTTATTTTCTGACGATTTTTCTCGCGATACATAAACAATTAGATAAATAACAAATGAACAGACGTTTTAACTAATTGTTTAAACTTCGAAATTCTTCTATTAGCAATCTCCATTAAGTTAAATTAGTTTTCTTTCCTCTTAAATAAGTGACAAGTTAATTTATTTGCGATGAAAATTTTTATTTTCTCTTCCAATTTTTTTATATATATATTTTTTTTTTAAAGTTCAAATTGGAGTGTAAATTTAAATAAGAGGAATTAACGGAAGTGACGAAAAAAATTAATTATTTGTCGGCGGAGTTCGTCGAGTTTTGTGTATAGAAAACTACACTTTGATACTTTACAAACAGATTATTGAACATTTATTTTATTTTATTGACACGCAGCAAAAAATTAACGTAATTACACTCATTATTTTTATCGAACTAATCTTGACGAAATCGGATTAACCGATTGAATATTTTAAATTTTGAATTTCAAATTAATGAGAATGTAGCGACATCTGGTACCAACATTCTTAAACTCTAAATATTTTTCTCGAAAAATATTGTTTATATATTTACTGACAGATGGCAGCACTCGAACAAATAATCAAATTTTTAAAATTTTATATAAATTA